ATTGTAAGTCCGTGTGTGAACCTACTCTCAACCAGTGTTGTTGCCAGGAGGGGGGGTTGGCGGGGGGGCGGGCAGACGAGGCTTGCTCCACTTTTCCATCTGACGGAGCAGAAGGGATCTAGACTGTGTTAAACACCAAGTCAACCCAGCGAGAGGGAGTGGGCCAGTAGGGCTTATGTTTGCTGTGCTATCACTGGACATTACAGACATGGATGAGCCCTTGGCTCGTTTCCCTGTTGTCACAACAGACCGCAGGGGGTTTGTTATCATGGAGGGTTTGATTCTCCTCGTGTGATGGTTGGGTTCAGGGCGTTTTCATTGTCTTTAAGTAGCATATATTTTTGAATATGTTATTTAGTTATAAGAATTTTTGTATTTTCTTTTTTGCTTATTTGTTGGACAGTCAGGTTAGCCTTACAGTTCTTCCTCATGGGAAGTGTTGACCTTAGATTGAATCTAGTGAAGAAGTCTCGCTGTCATTTGGATTACAGTCACTGCTCACACCAGGATCTAAATGTAAAGGAGCGACTTGGTAAGTCATAGTAAAAATTACATTCAAATCTATGTCTTTATGGATCAGAAAAGACTCAATACTCAAGTCAAGTACAGTGTTTGCCTTATGGTGTTGTCTGGTGCGATTTGACCCATTATCCTCTTTACTTGGGAAAGTAGACTTAGAGGGCAGTGTGTTAGTGCTCTTTGAAGGTCAGTGTTCTCCCTCTGGCCTCAAGTGGCCTATGCAGGGTGTTGGTGAGATCATTTTTAAATGTGCAACTTGAATAAAAATATTGTATTTTTCTTGGAGGTTAAACACAACCCAGACAAGGAACTACATAGAGATATGTATAATAATGAATTATTATACTCATAGTATATATGTACTCAATTATATTGATCAGAATCATTATCTATAGTTCTTCATCTTTCCTATCCCACAGCTAAAGCACAGCTCGACCTTGTTCCGTTTGCTTTAATGTGACTTGTCAGTGAGGCTGGACTTTTGAAGCCACAGCTGAAACCTATACAGGTATCTTTAGCTTTTGACGCTCAATCTCCAGCTTGGACATCGGGGAGATAGATAATCCCTAGAAAGAAGCTTATAAATTAGCTGACTGCCATTACAAAGACTTTGAGATTGAAGCAATTGAGGTCAAAGACACGGGAGAAATTCCGAAAAGGGCTTATAAAGCAGCGTACATTGTATAGGCTCAGAAAACTACATGGTAAAGATGGAAAAATATGTATGATTTAATAATTCACAACAGTTAAGGAAATATAAATGCATTGCCAAATATTACAAAATTATTTTGTAATTTATTATGTTTATGTTTGATTTGTTTTATATATATATATATATATCTATACATATATATATATATATATATATATATATATATAAATCAAACTCACTTAATAATGAAATAATATTAATAATATAACATAATACAACAATAATGTAAGATTATAGTGTTGGTTGTTTTTGTGTACAAATTCAAAATATGTAGTCTTGACAGTTGTGACGTCTTTAAAACAACTTTAATGAGTTCTTTTGTGTCAATCGTTAAGCAAGCATGAGGCGCAGTGAGGCATAAATCGAAAAACAAACCAAAACATTATACCTGACATCATTGAATGCACAGCATTAACAGTATTTATTCCATCAAATTAAGGACAAATATCCGGAGGTAGCTGTAGCATAATTGTTTTTTTCATAGGAACTATGAAAATATCCATAAAGTTTGGTGGCACATTGAAACAAAGTAGCTGTTAACTGAAAGATATCCTTTGAAGAGGTAATTGATAAAAATCTATTTTAAATGAAGACATGCTGCTGTCACACTGATTTACATGCTGTTTATTTCTCCTGATGTTCCAAACACTTTTGCCATTCCCCTCCAAGCACTTCTGACATTAATGCATATACTTGATACATGTCTAATGGAACATTTTGGCACCAATGAGTAGTCGGAGACAGACTAATGGACACAGAGATTGCAATTTCCTAATACTTAATGAAAATGGACTAAAATTTATTTTGTCTCCAGTCATAACGTGAATCAGTTTTGACAGCATTTGCCGGCAGCTAAAATTAGTGGCTAATGTTAATCTTTATTGCGTTAATGACAGCAACATCTCTCAACACTGTAAGTTGTTTTGAAAGCTCGGCATAAACTTGAAATTAAATGTCACCCACACTGAGCGTTAGTTTCTCAGAATTCACATTTCTATGTCTTCATTGTTCCTCACGTCCACATTGTCTTGTGCCTATATGCTGCAGACCTGGTGCCCAGCAGATTTGACTGTACATGTACAGGTTGCGCTCTGGTGTCACGTGCACAGAGCATGATTAACCTTTTTATTTTTATTCTTGTTTTCGATCAAAATCAATCATGATCATTTTTGACAAATTCTTGATTAATAAGATAACATATTGCAATCTTTTGACAGTTCTAACGCTTACACAGCTTCTTATGATTCTCATGTAATGGTAGTTTTTCTTTCGTTGCAGTATATATTTGGGTTTAACCAGTAGCATCTGTTTATACATGCACTACCTGTTTTCTGCGATAAGAGTCGCCCGGCATCAGCTCAAGGCTCATTTCCGTGCTCTAATAAAAATGAAACAAAGGTCATGTTTTTTAATCCTTATCCACCAGCTCAAATATTCTTTGTGTGTATTTTTTTTATGCTCAGGTGGACAAAAAAAATGAACAAAATGAAAAAAAGATCAATTGAATTAAACTGTGGTCAGCAGTTATTAAAACTGGAGGTTTTTCAGGGGAAGGTCACTGATAATGTTTGTTTGTGTGGGCCTGGCCGTGTTATCTCCACAGACCTCCTATTGAGAGCTGTCAGACACTTTCTCATTACCACAACTACAGTCTTGCTGCAAGACTGCTTTAGAATAATTGATGTGTGTGTGTGTATATGTGTGCTCTCTTTGACTTTGTTAAAAGCTTGAATGCGTTTACCTTGCCTTTATTTATTTTTAAAGCATAAATCATCACAGATTAAACCATGCACACCCTGATGGAAATAACAGAGCTCGTCTTATCATTCTGTCCGTCTGTATCACACTCACACATGCACCTTCAGCTGCACTTTTTTAATAAGCCAGCCTTTTAACGTGTTGCTCTGCGGTCGGTGGTCGTCGTAGAGTTGAATCGTTGTACCATCACTAATATTATTCAATCAGCGTCATGTTTGTGTGTGTCTTTTGATTGCATACTAATTATTTACCAAGTCAATAAAGCTGTTTGCCGGTGTCACGACGTAGTCTTTAAACAGCAAAATGAATGTCTAAGAATATTTTTTTTATTTAGTTATTTAATTTATTTTTTTATATTTCTATTTTAGTTTATGTTTATGTAAATACACAGACGAATTATTAACACATCCGCTTATCAACAATTTCCCATGCAAACTAGATGGCAAGTTTTGAGGGCATACTACGAAATGATGGAACAAGATTCTTAATTAAGTTTGCGATGTTACCATGAAACATTGGAAGTAGACGTTGACCGAGGACTGTAGATGTGTAGGAGGAAATGTGATTTTTGGTACTGAGAGAAAGTGAGATGTGGATACCAGGCTTTAATTGAATTAATTTTATAATATGGTGCATCGTTGTGGATTAGTGTTCTAAGAGAAATGGCTGCTTTTGAAAATAATTTTAATGGAACACAAAGTAGTCCTTTCCTAGGCTTTTGTCTCCACTCATTCAAGGAAAAACCCATCTATGGGTCAGCGAGAAGCAAAAAAGTACACGTCTGACGGAACAGCTGATCTTTCTATCGTTTTTATACTTTAAACCCACTATTGAGTGTTTATGTAACAAATGGCTGTGCGAGATCAAATAAGGTGTTTTTTTTTTAAAGTTTGTTTAGTTTTCTGGATTGAATGTTGGTGCTTGAAACATTATATTTACATTTGTCCAATCTCTCAGGACTGAATATACTTCTGTGCTTTGGCTTCTCGGTGCGCAGAAGTCCAGCAAAACTAATTTTGTAATTAAGGCAGCGGAGACGGGGAGTGGGGAAAACCCATGTGTTGGTGTTATTAAAATAGTAATTAAAACAACAACATGACTAACACTGTATCATACATACCATGTTTGACTTTTTTGTTTTCCATAAAAATGACATTGCTGTTACTAACTGATTTCTCATGAAGGTGCATAAAGAGATGTATTTAAACCTTTAAGCCCTGTTACATATAGGTCAAAGTCCATCTCATCAGTTACTTTTTATAATGTCTTTGGGGACTCTTTGTTGGCGCTACCCCGGCTTCAGCATCAGGTTAATGTGTTGTGTTTGCAGCCGTAATTATTAGTTCAGTTAGAATCGCATTGATTGACCTCTGCACTCCACGTCCTATTAAAGGCTCACGGAGGAACCTAAAGGGGCTAAAAATAAAAGAGGGAGACGAGACAAATGTAGAGCAATAAAGAGCAAAAAGGTTCCGTTGTGTGGGTTTCTGGGAACTCACTTCTTTTCGTGCGATGTCAAAGAAATTGACTGTGTAGCGCTGAATAACTCCATACATCACGGCCGTGTTGTTTCATCCGTAATAGGAAGTTAATGCAGCCACTTTTCTCTTTTCTTAAAGGTCTGCTCTGCTTTGCAGAAGTGGGTGAAGGTTTAGCAATAGAGAAGTGGGTGATGGGGGTGAGACAGATTATAAATACAAACTTTAAGTGATGCTAAGTGGGCCTAATGGCATAGGTCGAAGTATGAAACCTTTAAAACTACAAAAAAAAAAAAAAACAACGGTTAAAGCCAAACCAGATCCCATGTGAGTACAGAAGACAACCAGGATACATGTTTACTCTACGCCAACTGTGAGGACTAAGTACTCTCCAAACACCGCATTTGCACTGCATATGAATGTTTGCTACATCATGCAAATGTTTTTTTTTTTTTTCTTGTTGGTATTTCTTGCGCCGTTACTGTTTATACTCCCTGTGTGACTCCGACCCCCCCTCCTCTTTCTACCTCCAGGGAAGCTGGCGGAGAAAACTGGGGCACAGAAGGCTGCCAAACGCTTACGTCGACCACTGTCCACATCAAATGCCTGTGCAGCAGGATATCCACCTACGCCGTTTTAGCACAGCAAGCTAAAGACCCGGTGAGTCACAGCAATGTATAGCCCAATATAATCTGCCAGACCTGGGGGTTTACCATGCAACTGCTGTCATGGGCCAGGTTAGTAATCTTAGAGGTCTCCTGAACTGTAAACAAATGTGATATTTATGTTCTTTTTTTTTATTGGAACTCGTAAATACAGTGAGTTGCTATGGTTATTATTATTTTATAACAAGATGCTGTCTGAATCCTGTTGTCACTTTCTGTCTGATTGAAATATTAGGCTGCTAATGACAGGTTGGAAAGATCAGGACGTTAAGGGATTTACTTTCATGTCATAGAGAAGATGCAGGCTGGAGGCACATCGTACGCTATCTGTTGTAATTAATTTACCCAGCCTTAAATGATCACTTATGTTTGTGGTTTTAAAAGCCAACTACTTCAAACAAACATCGACTTCTCATCTCATGACACCCTAATGTCATCTGCACCTAACTGCTTTATAATAGCTTCTGTAATAAATCCCTTTTTAGTCATTAAGTGAACAAGGTTGGCTAAATAGAATCCAGGTTGTGCGTATTTTTTATTTATTTTATAATCTGCTGACCTGATGACTAGTTTAGACAACAAATCTCCAACTCTGGCAGGAAACAACATCGAGATGAGATGTGATTGTGAAGAATGGAGGATAGCTGCGAGGAAGTGCTCAACCAGACAGAAAAGGCAGTCTGGTTTAAGCTGTGAGGGAAAGCTTAGGAGCCAGATGAATGTAAGTGTTCAGGGCTTTTAGCAGTAATGCATTACTGGACTCATCACAGAGAAAGCCAGCAGTACGTTTCATAGGCGTTTATTTTTTGAGCGTGCCTTATAAAGAGCACTCACGAGGTGCCATGGAAGTGGCTTTTGACCTCAACATTACCAAACCTATGGGCTGACATTTACTGCGGATTAAATGTGGAAATAAATGTCAGTGGTGTAGGAAGCTGAACATGTTCTCTTCACTTTTGCTTTTCAAGTTTTTGTTGTTGAGAAGTGCATCTGAGCTGGACCTGTGAGGTGCTGGTGATTGATCATTGTTATGTTCCTTTAACCTTAATTGAATGTAAAAAAGTTTAAATCCTATATACTCTATGGACTTTAAACCTCTACAGCATAGAATTTGTGTGCAAATAAAAAAAACAAAACAAAACAAAAAATGACAGGATTGATGCGACATACATTAGGGTAAATGTGTCATCCCAGTATCTATTTCCAGTAATGGTGACTTATCTGTCCACTGAAGGGTATTGACTTTTCCTGTACCACTCAGCAATCAGCTCAGTCACGTTGAGAGAGCGAGAGCGATCACAGACAGCAAACACACATTGACTTTGGTGATATCTGAGAAAAAGTACTTTGAGTGAGTCATTAGTCATTCATACTTTAACTTTTGAATCCAACGTTGAACCCACGGATTCCGATGCGAATGTTGTGATACTCTTTTTGTGTCAATAGCACTCAGTAAGAAGCTATTGTGGCCGCGGCTGAGTGCACTTTGTTGCTTTAGGGTGCTTCACGGTTAGCTTTTCTATTGTACAGATAATTGGATTCAGTACAAAAGAGAGAGACAGATTGATTTCGGTGGCACGTCAACATAGGCATCTCCAGAAATTCTAATATGGACAGTTGTGCTTATTCCTAAAATCCAACACACAAACAGGACTGCATGCTTCAATATATGCACCCGGCCACTCAAACACAAACAGCCCTACATGCAAACAGTGCTACTCAGTGTACAGGCTGTGTGGCTGCTAGAGCAAAGCTGAGTATCAACAACCCAGCTCTGACAGCTTATCCCAGGCCACGACACTTGGGACAAGGGAGGGCTGAGGATTAACCTCCATGTTTAATGGAAAAAGGAGGAAGGCTGCTGTTGGAAATAGTGATGGAAGGATTTAGCAGCAGTGCTGCCATTACAGGCCATTTTTACAGTGGAGTGAGGAATGGCCGCTTAATCCTGTTTACTTGCCATAGCCTCTGAGATTTCATGTGTGCCAGTCTTTGTCGGTGAGTGTGTGTGTGAGAGAGTGAATGCAGGCGTGTGTGTGCCCATTTGCCTGTGAGTCTATAGAAAGGACTTCACTATCAGACACGAGCCAGAGGTTGTTACTCGAGATGAGCCACAGAGTGAGTGAAACACTTGATAGAGTGAGGTCATGAAATCATACAATAAGCCGAGCCATTTAATTCCCAGAATGACTGTAGTGGGAATACAAACCCACGCAGACCCTACTGATAGGTCTGTTCTCATGGCTGTAGCATAGCTCAGTGGATCACAGCACTAGGAGCCCAGGCAGGTATTGGCTCTGTAAAAGTCAGTGAAAGATCCTGTGCTCCTACTTAATCATCACAGTTTATAACTCTTTGCATCGTTTTATTAGCACATAAGTTTGATGTGTTGAAATTTACCACAGTTTTCAAGTACCGCAAATGTCAAATGTGTTTTTTTTAAGAGCTGTAGTGGGGATTTAACGTCATACAGCTGCTGGAAAAAGGCTAAGAAAGAGTGCAGGTGCAAAGTTGGCAGTTAAACCATCAATGGACACTCACAGTGGGAGTGGCAATGCTGTGTCCGTTTCCATAAATTTGGTTTAAGTTTTGATTTATTTGGTCGATTTACATTTACAGTAAGGTAACAATGAAATATAATATTTTGAAGCCGAAAGAGTATTAGTTGAAGCAAAAGCTTATTTTTGACAACCCGTCATGCTCCACATACATTATAAATTACAAAACAAATATTGTGTGAAAATGACTCACAATAACTACAGAACACTCTCCTGTTGGTCTTGGTGTTGACAGTTCTGACTGTTTGTAACAAGAATGGCACTCATTCTTTTTACTCTAATCACTGAGGGTTTAATCATTGTATTGTCACTATGTTGCCATTCCTGATCACTGAAGTTTATTGGAAAACCAGAACATATTTGCTGGTGTTTCACTAAATATGAAGATGTATTTTGCATGAAAACAAAGGCGAAAAATACAGGCATTTTGTGATTTATAGGTAATTATGTTATAATTGTCCTGGTCCAGCCCGCTTGACATTTAATCAGGTTGTATGCAGCCCCTGAACCAAAAATGAATTTGACACCTCTCATTTACGCCATGCATCGTCAGGAATTGTGGGAACCACTGGGTTACAGGCTAGGGATGGATTTTTGGACCAAAACTTTCCACAAGAGTAAAGTGGAGATGCAAATACACAGGTAAATCACTTGTTTCAAGTGCAGTATTGCATAACTTAAGCATTATATAGCTGTGTTGTGTAGGTGTGGCAAAAAAGACAGGGGGAAAGGTGGGCACAGAGGGACAGGAGAGGGGGAGTGGCAGAAGAACAGGTGGGAGTGGAGGGAGGCATAGTGTCAGTGAGAGAACATAACTAGGTTAAACTCCTGAGCTGAAAATAGCTATCGTCTCATCACATGGTAGCAGAGCTGCCCGGGGGAACCTGGTCTTGTACAACCGAGCTTCAGCACAGTCCCTGTAATCTGCGCTCCCTTTCTGTCTTTCTCTCATTTCTTTTCATGTACACACAAATCTACATATTCGCAGTATGACGAGGCAGTCCAACAGCACAAAATGACTCCGTCATATGTGGTTTGACCAAATCTTGTCTCCATAATTACGAGAGACGTTAATTGTCTATCTTTTTCTCCCGAGTCTGTCACTAACCAATATTAGAACTAATAAATCCTGTATTCATCTAGGATACTCTGATGTTGAAAATGAAATTTGAACATGCTTTACTTGACAAAAACTTGAACTTTAAAGCCCTTAAATCCAAACAACTATAAACCTTTTTAAAACATCCGAAAATATTTTTATTTACATCTAAAAACGCACCTCACTAAATTATTCATTATGTATTCCAACAACCTTACAATATGTAACGGTCAAAGTGCAGGCAGGCAGTCAAGTATTAAGATTTATTTGTTGTTTACATTGTTGATTTTAGATTCAATTTTAGTATTTCATGTTATTACAAAAGCTACTGAAACATCTGTCATACTGACAAAGAATTATTAAGATAACAAAAGGTGAATTACATTTTAGACTCCGTTCAAGAGTGAAAGTTTTTATTATATACTCTCTACTCACTTGCAGCATACGTTCATGTGAATCAGACACACTATACAGCCACACACTGAGGATGATGGATTAAACTTCACAGGTTAAAAAAAGGTGTAAGTGATGGGAAGAAAAATATCAAAACTTTGCATATTGTTTATAAAGCCTCAGATTAAATACAGATTTTAGGATGTGTTTTAATAAATGCAGTAACTGTCAAAGAGATTGATCCTCAGAATTAAAGGGAAGCAGGACATGATTATGACATGTTCTGGGCTGTCAGACAAAACAGTAGTGTTAGTCTGCAGCATGTTACATGATTGTAAACTATAATGTCTGTACAACATCTTCCAATGTAGTTCTTGAGTTTGAGACTTGGATTTGAGTCTTTAAGACTGAGACAATAATGAGACAACATGTAGTCGTTATGTCAGTATCCATGGCAGGCTGAATGTAATGTCTTCCCTTAATAGTACGGAACTCTTTGTAGCCCACATGTTTTGCCATGAGAATCAAAACAAAACTGACAGCAGATTGCAGCGACAGGCTCACCTGGAGCTGTGCCATTTGTTATCACATTTGATTATAGAGATTTCACACTGACAGCAAACAAATGTATGGCCACTTGAAAAGTGTGTGGCATCAGGATAAATGATGCCGGCTCAACTACGTCCAACCTCAGTTTTATCATCCACCTCAAACGGCACAAGGACGGGCGAGGCACTTGAGGTGAAGTGAATGTGAAATATTTCACACAAGGGTATTATATAATTAACATTTCACTAGATTTGATTAGTTACTGCAGAATATTGTTTCTTGCATAATTTGTTTTATAAACTTTTCACATACCAAGTGTGTATAGTGCTACTGTGAAGGATGCAAGGTGCACAATAGTCAAATTTTTTGTTTTTGCTACATATTCAAATTAATAGAAGTCCATAGAAGCAACATGAAGGTGTGCAGGAACCACAGCTATGAAGGGATGGAGCGGCAGACCACTTAGAGTTGTCATCACTCTGCTGACTCATGCTGCAGTGTTTCAAATCTCCCTGGCATCGAAATGAGCGCGGGATTGTGCACCAGTGGCTCCGTAGGTTTTGACGGATGAGCAAACGTGACATCACTAAGTCCATTGTGGGACACAGCGAGAAAACGCTGTACCACTTGATATCCTGGATCGGTGGAGAAATGTACTCCAGGGTGACAAATCAACCTTCTTTATCTCACAGCCTGTTGGACGGAACTGGGTTTAGTGAAGAGTCATGATGAGATCAGTTCAGTCTCGCTCAGAGCCTTGACCTCCTTGGACACATGGTAGAAGTTTTATTTTTAAAATTTAAATGCTAAAAAGAAAATACCAAGACTGGCAGGCAGTTTCATCTTAATGCCTGTGGATTTATAATAAAACATAGCTTAGTGGTTTTGTTCCCAACTTTAGAGAACGTTAAATCACTGTATCAGCATTCGACATTCCATCTACATCTTAGAGGTTCTAGATAAGGAATATATTAAAACCTAAAATTCCTACATTGGTCTAACTCTGTACCAAAATTTGAAACATCAGTTGTCTCTTTGTATGTATAGAGATGTTGGCCCTTTTCTTTTTTTTTCCTGCATTTTCTTTCATATGAGGTGGTTTAGATAATGTTTCATCTCCCTGAATGTGTTCTGCATGTGCACCATATCGGTATTCCTCCCTTCCTCTGCCTCCCTCTGGAGAATCCAGCTTTCTTTGATGGGCCATGGAAAACCACTTAAAGGGAAGCTTTGACTCCATCTCATTTTCTCTCTCCTGTTTCTATTTCTTCCTCATCCTCCTACACTTTGCCGTTTCTTACTGATTCCTAACTCTTTCCACTCCAACTCTCTCTCTGGCTGTTTCTCCTACTCCATTTTCTCCAGGGTTTGGATCCTTCATCTTTTATGAAGTTCTTTCTCTCCTTTTTTGTTTGTTTGTTTCATTGCTTGACTTAAGCTTATCAAAAATAAACACGCTTGAATTCATGCAGCTTAAACCCAGGCATCCATTTACGTGGATATTCTTGGACATTCTTTTGTGTGTAGGTCTGTACTCTACTTTCAGTGAGAACACCTTGGTGTTGATCTTATTTGAGAGAGGAGAAACCGGTCACACTAGGAGCTTAATTAAGGAAATTTGGTGATTGAGAACCTAAGAACAAGACAACTACGAAGACCATTTTGGACGTGGTGCGGAGCGTGCTCTAAATGCAGCTTCATTTGTCTGTTCTCGTCTCTCTCAAAGGCACCTGAGGAGAGAAGCAAAACACCAGCCTTTTCTTCACCATGACCTAATTCACTTAATTACACGCCATGGTCTCGTGTTCTACCCTCGTACACACGACGTTGTGCGGTGTTAGCAGATAGGTGCTCGGTGTGGCTTTCAGAGAATATCATTTGGCTTGCATGAGGTTGCTCGGTTCACAAATAATCACTCAGCAGTGTTGGAGAATTGTACTTTGATAGATGTCCCCCAGAGTAAGATAAGAAAAGGCACCCATTCCAGAAATAATTTTTTGATTTCCTGTCGTAGTACTTCAAAAAACACATGAAACACCAGTAGTTTTTGGACTCATAGTTTAGAGGACTTAGTACTGGAGCAGTGCTTTTCAAGCAGAAGAAAACATTGAGCTCTCTGAGTACCACCATGATGACCAACATTAGAATATAGCAGCATAGGCCTGCCCTGTTAGCTTCCACCACACACGAGAGATGTTTATAAAGATGTTTATGTTGTATAAGTTGTGCATGGTATATTTCAGATTTATTCAGTTAAAAATGTAAATGTGAAAATATGAATCTTGTTTGTGTACCACTGGTGGTACACATACTACATTTTGAGAACCGATGTACTAGAGTACTAAAAGCTTGAAATGTTGTAAATGTACTTTGTTTTTAAATGGCAACAGGAAATACACCATTCATCATGGAGATGTCTGAAACAACTCCTCTGTTTGACACAAAGTTGGATCTAATCTATTGATATGTATATATTTTAAATATATATTTGAATAATCATGTTAAAACGAATAGGCAAACTGAAACGCTCGTGCACAATTCCACTTGAAAAAATGGCACCTTTCAAAAAAGTGTAATTATGTTTTATTATACCCATTCATCATCTGACAGACTCTTGTAATTCTAATTAAAGGTAATTGCACATAATTAGCGGGCTATCATTAAAAAAAAAAGAGTCTATCAAAGGATATTACAACTCAAGGACTGTGTAACGGTTAAAAGATACTGTAAGTGCAAAGCTGGACAAGTGCCGTCCTTTATGTGCTTTAATGTTTTCACGACATCACGGTGAAGACGTTCATTCCAAACTTTATCTTTCTTTATCTCATCAGTCTGTCATACGAACAAAGGCCTTTACAGGACAGTGGGGAGATTTATGGTCCTTACATTACGTCAAAGTTTTTAACATTGCATTGAGGGATTTATATAAGGTACAAATACTGATATTTTCATCTTTGCTTTAACCTCTGTTAACTAACAGTATACCCAGGGGCGCAGCCAGGAAATCTGGGGCCTCATGGAAGGATATGACAATGGGCCTCTGTATAAGAACATAAAGACCATGTGTGTCTAAATACCATGCAGAATTGACTATGATAACAGTGCATATTATCACGACTATGCACAATATAATAAGTTAAGGTCAGTTTCAACAATATATGTTGGATACTTTAACCTGACTTTTTTCTCCCTCTGTAGGACATGGGTCCCACCAGCATTCCCTCTGTCCCCCTCATGGTGGGGTGTGGAGTTTCCTGTACTGCCCTGCTCATCCTGCTGCTAATCTATGCTGCCTTCTGGAGGTACGGACACACACACACACACACACACACACCTACTGTATCTATCAATGTCATGCATGTGTCCGCGTTTGGATGAGCCCACGACAATTACACACCATCTCCTCTGCAGTTCTGAAGCTGCTTTTAGCAGCTAAAGAATAAACGTTGGAATAACAGCAGGGGTCGGTAATTAGATTTGTTGCTAACACACATGACAGATGGCAAAATCAAGCTAATAACTCCGACACGTCCGCTAGAGTTTTCTGTCCAGCTCATCAATCTGCCATTTATACTTACCCCACACGTCCGTCCTCTCTGGCCTTGTTTTTCCCCTCCTCCTCTGCCCTGTAGGTATATCCGCTCGGAGCGATCCATCATCCTGGTGAATTTTTGTCTCTCCATCCTGGCCTCCAATCTGTTGATTTTGGTGGGACAATCTCAAACTCTGAGCAAGGTGAGGCAATAAAGTTTACCCTTAAAAAATGGAATTTTCACAACTCAGTCAACGCCGCTCCCGACTAAGCCTTTTTAAAGCCTGGAAACCGAGGCATTAATAAAAAATGAGGTGGTTCAAAACTAGACAGGGTGCAGTCACTGGAGTGCGGCGGCACAGGCTGACATTTTGCTACCATGTGAGTGGTCAGTAACTGATGTCCAGAAGGCAGTGTGGTCAGGTTTTATTCTCCGCTTTATTTTATAATAGGTTCTTTTATAAGCAACCTTTTCCCTTTGGCCTTTACAGTTGAGGGAGTGATAGTTTTCTTGCTGACCACATGGTCCATAATGAAACCTTTCACTAAAACTACTTTACTTCTTGGTGTCTCATTGATTTTGTCCCCTCAGGGCCTCTGCACCGTGACTGCTGCTTTCCTGCATTTCTTCTTCTTGGCGTCCTTCTGCTGGGTGCTGACGGAAGCGTGGCAGTCCTACCTGGCCGTCATCGGCAAAATTAGGCCGCGGCTCATTCGCAAGCGTTTCCTGTGCCTCGGTTGGGGTAAGCGTCCACACACACGCGTTGTTTTACCTCGACAGGCAGTGGCTTCAGTTCTGTCTTTGCAATTTATTTGAACTTCTTCTGCTCAGGTTGAAACATGGAAGATCAAACTGGAACTATTTACACACAAAAGCAGCCCTGTGAGCTGCTTCTCCTTTTTTTCTGAACTCTTTATAAACCTCCAGTCTTGTTTGGATATTAGGAATTTATTCATTCAATAAAGAGAAAAGACCCTGAGCCAAAAGTGCTTCTGAAATGATGCACACTTGGTTGAAAAGCGTTTTCTTTTATTTATTCAATCATCTAAGCAAAGCTAATTACAGCATTTGCTTTTATTTTTTTTACCTTGGACTCAATTGACTCCTCTTGAATGTAGTCTTACTTTTTAAATATTATTATTACATTTCAAAAAGATCTTTGACCACATTTAACCCCACATCTTCAATGTTCTACAAATGTGTTTTGCTGTGTTGCTTTCTGGGTCATGTGGTTTTTCGACCAACTTTTGTCAGGATTCACATCCATTCAAATGGCTTTGTGTTTGGGTTCATGAATACTCATTTTAAACTCTTGTTTAAAGCCATTCTTTTCTACAGATTTTGCCTGAAACGTTATTGTTCTTCACACTGGACACGGTGTTGACTTTTCTGTCTGAACATTATCCCTGCTGTTCACATTGGCGTTCCATTTTCTGTTTCTGTGCGTTGTGTTTGCCTTTTAAAGAAAACAGTATTGATCACACCATGTATTCGGCCTAACTCTCAGCCTCTTGTCACTCCTTTGTTCTGCCTCGACTTGACATAACAGACATGGTGTTTTGAAAATATTCAAAAAGAAAAAAAAAACAAAAACGTCTTGACAAGCCTGGCACCGTACTTTGAGATAGCTCTAAAAATACGAGTGCGCCGCCCTTTGCAACATTCGTACGGAGACACACACCATTATGCCTGTAGGTGGTGAACAGTAGAGTAAACAATGATAGACACTGTAAGAATATTCTGTAACGGTGTGTGGAGAGAGGCTCATGCACAGTTGTACAAGTGTGAATATTTACAAGCACAGCACACATGGAATTTGATATATGATTTGAATAATGTATTTCTAAATGTATAGATTAAAATCTTTGTTTGTGGAAAATTACACTGGTAAAAGAGACCACATGAGCATAGCATGATATATTAACAATGCATCATTTATTTATTTCCATACTGAGCATATTTGTTGCTAAAGATGTAGCAACAGATGTAAAAGACCAAACGACCTTGACAATGTCATCTCTCACTGCTGTGACTGAATGTCATACTCAACAGCAGCACTTTTTTTTAATAATAAAAAAAAAACAACATTCACCATTAGCTCATCCCAAAAGCAGTGGAAGTTTTTCTCCTGCTGACATGATTTTTTATTTCCCCCCCCCCCCAAAGAAAAAAAATCCACTAACTTTTTTTGCATGTTTACTCTGTTGTTATTCATATCACCAATAGAACTTCGGCTGATCACTGATCATTTCCCAGACAAGTGAGTGAATATTGAGCAGAAATAAATCATAGACTAGGGAGCCGTACTATCTGCGGCGCCCTGACACGTCTTTCATCTCAGCCTCATCTGTGACTATATTTCCACAGGTGCCAACAGGAAAACAATCATTTAACTCTCGGTTCTTGATCTATCATTATCTACAATTTTCATCAGCGAAGGATTGGACACAGGATTTGTTAACTGTTGAATGGAGGACCCAGTGTGCCGGAGGACGGCTATCATTTTTCTCAAAGGGAATTATGTTCCCCCTAGTGGCTCACCCATGGTAAACAGATGTATGAGCAACTCTCCCTCAACTGGGATTAATTCAGATTAATTATCACCCAGCTTGTCATTAATTTGGATATATTTCTAGTTGTTTGACAGCCCTAGTTGTGCTGATCCTGCAGGATAAGCTGTGTTGTTGTGTAGCGGCAACTTTGTCCATGCTAGTTCTGGCTCCTCTGCATCTTATTTGTTAATGCGAGTGTTGCTAATTGCTTTTCATTTGCAGCCATAATCACGGCTATGTAAATTACATGAATATTTCAGAGCCAGCCTAGTTGTGGGCCAAACATCTTTCTTTCCTCTTCTGGCGTGGATTCGGTGACACTGAGGCTCCCGCTCCTCCACATGTACACATGCTCTCACACATGGATTGATTTTGCTAATTAGGAATGCGACTTATTGACTACTACTCCGAGCTGAATCTCTCAGGTTCCCTCAGCCTCACATGCTGTCTTCTCTGAGTTAACAACCAGACGATGGCAAATCCTGTCCTGAACTCTAATCCTAGCATTCACATCAACAACTTTGTGCCCTCAGGTTTACCTCTTGTGCCTTTCGACTGTTTAACTCACACATGCACATGTTTGCATTTAAATCAAAATATCCACATCCCAACATGCCTCTGTGTCTTGTCTCCTGTGCAGGGCTCCCAGCTCTTGTCGTAGCAGTGTCAGTGGGTTTCACCAGAGCCAGAGGTTACGGAACAGCCAGCTAGTGAGTATCTCACATGTTCGTCTCTCATTGAGCCGCAGCAAACTGTCTGTGGCACCGGTGGCCCTCATCTCATCTGAGTCGCCTTCGACTGTTTGCATACATTTTGCAATCCATTTTTTTGTGTCCTTGTTATGGATAAAAACTTTAAACTTACAGCATGCAAAGTGGGAAAATCAGTACTAGGTGTTTTTGTTTTAAATATGACTGTTCTCTTTCCTGTAGCTGCTGGTTGTCCTTGGAGGGCGGTTTGCTGTACGCCTTCGTTGGACCTGCTGCAGTCATTGTTTTGGTGAGTGTCTCTGTCATCACAGGAACGTCTTTTCTTCTGTAGGGGATGCACAAAACAGTTCTTGTTAAAAAAATATAAAGATTTTAAAACATAAATCTAGAATTACTAGAAATGAGCTGCATGTGAAGCAATGTAAGATAAATGTTTTAATTAAATGTAAAAAGGACCGATGGTCTCAGGTATCCAGGCACTGGAGTGAGGCAGTCCAGTGGCACCGCACCGCCAGACTACTCCTGTAAATTAGACAGTAACATATACCTTCATTCAGATCCCTGTTCTAATAGCTGTATTTGACAGCTGTAGTTGATGATGGATACGTAAGAGCAATCATAGCGGCCAATGCGTAGAAGATTGATGTTACCGAGCGGGGCGTTCTGATAAAAGTGAGATGAATGAGTTTGTGTTAGAGCACAGCTGTAGGGGGAGAGTAGAAGACGCCCGTGTCCATGCAGAAGTTGGCAGTTTTCAGGGCTGCAGCTCCCCTGACTGAGCTACATACGTGACATCACCACACGACAAAATGGATTCTGGATTTTGATTTAGCAAAATTGTTTGTGTTTCACCCAGTGGGGGCATTGTTTCTTATTTGTACCTTCCATCTTCAACTGCTGCATCCAAACTTCCAGCTTTAATTGCAAAATACGGCCTGACTTTTGGTTTCAGGTCGCTGCGGGAAGCTTAATGTCGAAGTGACTTTAGCAATTACCACGCATAAAAACTTTGATGTGTTGCCACAAATCAGTGTGCGTCACGCGTGTCATAAAGGCTCTCCGTAGAGACATGTTTGCTTACGCCGTGCGTTAGCTGCTCATCATCACAGAATGACAACAAGAACAATAAAACACAAAGTAACTAAATGACATTATAAAGCCGTAGAAGTTTCTTGTTTACTTTCAAACCTCTGACTTCTCAGACATTGTGGAAGAAAAATGGAGCCAGGGCCGTTCAACAGAAGTTAGAGACGTAATGAGTAGGATTGCTTCTGTCACTTTGTTAGCTTTTTTTTTTTTTGTCCATTATTGGCATCACTGTTTCAGGATTTAATAACCAGTTTATTTTAGATAGTAATTTCAGGAGGGAGCATTGCTCTGAGATCAGATGTAATTAGATTTTTTTTTTTTTTAACGAGTCACCAACTATATTTGTCATAGGGACAGACACGTTGGGCTCTGAACACTTAAATACAATTATTTATTTTATTTTATTTTATACATTATTTTTTGATGGTGATGTAATCCATTTGCGGGTCAATGGTCCGGTGAACCAGAGTTGGCTTGGTGAATTAAAATAGCTTTTCTTTGTTTCCCACATTATCTTATGGCGCCCCCTGTGCGGCAGCCTGTGAGTTGCTACAATGTACTTCATGGCGCCTTCTCTGGTGACCTGTGTTGGTTGCAAAGACTCACATTGTTGCAAATAAGGGACACAATTATTATTGATTGTTATGTCAAAATTTCATTGACATTAAAGAACAAAACAGGCTATGTTGGTAAAAATGTAGATTTAAAGTGCTGTCAAAAAATCCACCTTAATGATCAAATAAAGTTGCATTTGAATGTTTCTAGACTTGGTATGTGAGAGACGGAAGCTATCAAACCAGAGGGCATCTACCAGTGTGCGCTGTTTATCAGTGTCTGCTGTTTATTGGTTTGTTTCCAACTTCCATCATTTTCAGCCTTCACAATGTCAATGTGTCTTCCACATCCCAGCTGTTACATGAAGGTCCCCAGCCCCCCGGTGTTGTTGCCGGGGCCCCACTCTAACAAACAGCTGTAATAAGAGTGGGACGTCGGGCAGAGAAACACAGACCTTCCCACAGGACTTTTCTCTAATTAATGAACCTGGCCTTGGGTAAATAGCAGAGCAGGACGGTGCTGACTCACAGAGCTGTGGCCGGACATGACTGGCATGACAATCATGTTCTCCAGCGTTTGCTGTGTAGCCATCGGCAGACACGCACAGCAGAGATTGAGATCAGAGAAAGTGTAGGCAGCTAGTTTGAATCAGCCTCACACTAAAACCGTATCTGATCACTTGAAAGTCCCACCTAATCTGTTGACTTCTTCTCTTTGGATTTTGTATACATATGTAAACAAAAGCATCAGATTTTTCTGCACATGGCCAAAACTCTCAGTGATGACATAGGAGAAAAAAGCTAAGCTAACTAAGATACAGTTTGCACATAAAACAACAGTAGCACCAGAAGAAGATTGATTGCACAGAAACTCTGTCTAAAGAAAGGATGAAAAAAAACACCAAACAGAAGAAAGATTGTAAAAAGAAAATCTGGAAAACAAAGTTGTGAGAAATACAGAAAGGATCCAGATGGAGTAGATGTTAGGGGAGATGTCTACACAACGTGAGCCATTGACTCGTCTCTTTATCTCTGGGTCACTGAGTCCATATGTTTGTGACGCTAAGCTTTAGGCGTCCCATTAACAAGATGGGAGGAAGTCGATGCCTTTGTTATTCAGTACAGTATTATCTGAACGAAGTGCACTTTGAACACACATTAACTAATTGTATCTTCTACATGCATCACCTAGTATTTACAAGTATTTTTTTCAAGGCTGTCGTAGTATCTTCAACAAGAACTGAATTTGCCGTACCCCAAATATTTGATATATATGCAGTGTTTGTTTTACGTTATCTTTTTATTATTTTAATTGAAGAAAAACAGTCCCTGATTTTGTTTGGTAAAATGGAATCCAATAAGAACACAAATGTCAAATAAGTCTGAGTTTTGAAGATGAAGTGTCTTTTGAGAAAAAAAAAAAGAAGAGAATACCAAGCAGCGCATCTGCGTTATCAGTGTAAACAGCCTTTCCTTTTTAATCCAAAGAATTGTGGTCAATAATTAATTAAAGGTAATTTAGTTTACTCTGTGGCCTTTGGCACTACTGCGAGTTTTACTGTAATACGATTGAACCATAAAGAAGTTTTGGATAGTTCATATTTCCAAGTGGCCACATGAGAAACACAAACCGTGTTGGGTTCACAGAAAAACAAGTTGAATCAGTATTAATTTATCCCTTGGTGAAAAGCAATATATTATTATTATATATTTTTTTTATTAAACAAACTTTTTTTTCTTGCCATATGCTAATATTTTGAGACAGTGCTAACCATTAGGTGTAGTTTGTGACTAGCACAAATATTTTAATTTTTTTGGCCCAGTCTGCCATACAAAATGTCATCTATGTTCCTATTGTTTTTGAAAGCATCTTTCATCTACAGGAAAAAATAAATAATCAACATTGTTACGATGTGCTATGAATATTTAAACCAGTCGCTTGGACAAAGATTTTAGAAAATGTAAAATTTTTTACAAAAACTGTGGGGTTCGCAAACTTGAGAATTGAGAATTCCATTGAGGTGATCTGAAGTCAGACTCTGTGCTCTGACGATAAAAGAAATGTCACTTTCAGCCTGTTGCATGAGACACACTAAAGAATCTGCTGTCTTTATCCTGCAGAAGAAAAAAAATTAGGGATGAATGAAATTAAAAAGAAGCCTGCTCTGTGGTCTACCTCTGTTCACGGCACATCTATTACAGCGATTCTGATCAAACGCCTCTCTGTCTCTCCCAGGTGAATATGCTCATTGGAATCGTTGTGTTTAACAAGCTCATGTCTCGAGACGGCATCTCAGACAAGTCTAAGAAGCAGCGAGCTGGGTAAGAGAACTTCCAAAAAACTCACATGAAACACACACACATTTCCACAAAACACACACTCACACTCATTGGTCCTCCAATCTTGGCGGGACCCCGACTGCTAATTGATTGTAGCAGATCATTTCCACCCCGCTGTGTCAGACGCAGGAACAGGGTGACAGAAATCTCAGGACTACTGCTTACCAGGGTCTCAGAACACTGCGTATTGAACACCTGCGTTTTCAATCAAGAAAAAAAAGTCCAATTTGGCAGCAAAAACGCAAAGCATCTGTTCTCTTCTGTGAGTGTAATTTTAGGTTTTTTTTTTTTGTTTTTGTTTTTTTTTTCACCAAAACTTTTTACATTATAGGGTTTCAGTGTAGTTATTCTAACTTTTGGACAGTGAAAAGACTGCCTTTTATTAATACAAACCACCGTTTTAGAAAAGCTGGTACACCTTCCAAAGAAAGAATAAATAATAATTCAAATAATTTTAGAAGGACAATTTCAGTTTTTTTTATTCTTATTTTAAATCTTTAGACCATTGAGACAATTGTGATTAGTGTTTGGCCATAGAAATAAAATTGAATTACCTAGACTTGAAAAACTATTAATAAAATATATATGTTCATATAGTAAAATAAAGCTTAATAACTTCAGTAAAAAAAGACATGACATACTCTTACATACTCTAAGCCTTGGTTAAGTCAACACTACACATGCATGACATGTCATCAATTGTGTGTATTAAATCTGCAGCAGGTATTTATCAACTGTATTAACCCCGCAGTATAGACTTGCAGACAAATCCATGTTTCCATTTCCATAACTATCGATTTCATTGTATTTCCCCACTCTGCCCTCGACCTTCGTCTCCTGCATAAATTGAAATTGATCATTTCTGCGCAGCTCCAAGGGTTAAAGCACAGATTGACTCTCTGCTGGTTTAAATGTCAGCGATGCGACTTAGATTGACCAGATAATGCGCAAAAACAGTTTTTTTTTCTCTAATATTATGAGGCAGAATCCCTCAGTGTGGCGTGAGTATTGAGCACACTTCCTCGGTGTGTTTTTTTTTACACACGGGCTGCAGGGAAACTCACACTCCAAGCAGATCTAAGCTATTCCACACAGAGGAGTGTTGCTAACAGGACAGACTGTCATTAGCGTAATGTATTTCCTTATGAAGCCGTGGGGATATGGCTGGCACCGAGGCAATGAGCTGTGATGGCACGCTAATGTAGCATAGCCTGTGCATGGCCTCATCATTTTCCACTCCCAATATAAGCAGTACAGTACACACAAAAACACAAACACACATATTCTGTCCGTCCGTCTGAACAGTCAAGTGTGAGCGAACGACGGAGGAAGTCTTCCTTTACACTCAGGTAAAGCTTTATTCTGCAGAGTCACAGGTGGCGCTATAATACACACTCAGACCCACACCCACACACAGAGGTAGTGAGGTGTTAGTGTTACTGCGATTTGAAAATCACATGACATTACAGTGTCTGTCTCGTCACGTTCTCTCTACTTGCCCAGAATCTTTGTAATCTTGTGATCTGTTTTTTCATATCTGATACTTTTTTAAGATCTGGTTTTAATTTCCCTGTCTTTCTTTTCTCCCCTCCCCTCTCTTTTTCTTTTCCCTCTTTTTTCTCTCTGTTTCTTCTTTTTTTTTCTTTGTCTTTTTCGTCGCTCTCTTCTGTTTATCACTCCACCGTTCTGTTCCCGTACCTCCTCTTTCACTCACCTTCTTGGCCAACATGTTTGTGTGTGTCTGTGTGTTGTGTGTGTGTGTGTGTGTGCTGTGTATCTGAAAGTATCCCAGTGGAGGCACGTAGCCGCCTGCTCCTGAAATGCTCCAAGTGCGGCGTGATCTCGAGCACCGCTATGTCCAGCTCAACTGCCCGCAGCGCCATGTTAGTTCATCTTCATCTTGATGTCTTTGCACTCCTCTTCTATTTACTCTATTCCCCCGTCACTTCCTCTCTCCCTCTCTCTGCCTCCCACTCTCTATCACTCGCTCTCCATCTGTCTCCATATCCTCTTTCGCCTTCATCTCTTTAATCTCTCGCTGTCGGTAATGATGCAGGATGACATTCAGACTCGCCCCGGATAGAAAGAAAAACAAAATAATGAAAGAAAAGTATCGGCGCTCTAGGCTGCTGCCGCCGTTTGAGGAGAACAAGTTGGATCCGAGGCAGATTTTCCTCAGGTCGCACAGAGGATATCTAACCTGTGTCTGACAGTATTGTAAATCATCCTCACCGTCGGATTTAGGTGTTTGTGAAATGCAGTTAACTGCAGAGCTTTAGAACGTTAGGGAGTCGAGTGTATGGACTGGCATTATGTCAGGCTGTTCACTCCTGGCATTAAAATGTTCCAGAATCCTGCAGCTGTGACCTGACTGTAGTAAAACACAACTTCTATATATGCATTTAGCTGTATCCAAATGCATTATATGGATATGTACATATATAAATATATTTGTATATATGTATCTACATATATTTATATATACAACACGCACATACAGTATGTAAGTCTATGTATGTATATATGTATGTAAGTCTATATACACATATATATATACACACATATAGACACATACACTGTGTGTGCGTGCTGTATATATATATATATATATATATATATATATATATATATATATATATATATATATATATATATATATATATATATATATATATATATACATATATATATATATATATATATACATATATATGTACCAGGAAGGTGTCTATCTCTCTCAACTCCTTTGCAGATCCGCCCCTGCACAGACAGTTATAGAATATGTGCTCAAACGGCATGAACATTTTAAATTAGTGTCTGACTTTGTAGTCACTGACAGAGACGTGTACACACACACACTCTCTCTCTCTCTCTCACACACACTCATACACATCAGCAGCCCCCACTCTGTGCCTGTCAGTGGCCTGTCTCCTGTCTGTCATCTTTCATTTCTCCTGCATGACACTCATTGGGCATCAAACGTATAAATGTGATCAATTCCCAGTTTGGTAACAATTCATATGATTACACACTACTTTTCAGTGAGGTTATTAAGCCAATCAGGCACAAATTGCCATTCGACGACACTACACCACCTATGCACACTAGTGTGTGTGTGTGTGTGTGTGTGTGATGAAGAGTGCAGGAGAGAGAGAGACTTACCTGAGATGGCCTGTCTGGTTTGAGACTGAACCCCTTGTTCCTTGTTTCCTCTCCTCTCCTCCTCGTCCTCTTCTCTTCTTCTTGCCTTTTCTCTGACAGGGCCTCTCTGTGGAGCTCTTGTGTGGTTCTCCCTTTGCTAGCATTAACCTGGATGTCAGCAGTGTTGGCCATAACTGACCGGCGCTCCACACTCTTCCAGGTGAGACGGCTCACGGCAGCGGAGGCGGCTAACATTTCACACACACAGTTGTGACGCACAGTCAGGACAGGCTATAACATGTCACATCATATTAAGGCAAAGGAAACCACATTTGTTAGCATTTATTATATTGTAATATATATTGTTAATTATATAATTATTAGTAGTAGTACTACTCTAAATCAAGAGACTCAAATGTAAATGGTTAAGGGCCCTGAAGTGCCAGAGTAACAGTGTGGGGTCATACATTATGCACACATTGGTATTTAACAGTCCTCTGGTCTGGTGGTAATAGTTCTTGACCAGTTTCCTTGTTTATGTTAATGAGATGTTTTTACTCCACGTTGGCAGACAGACCATCACTGTGGTAATAGAAGTCACTGTTTCTGCTGCTGCTCAATAAATAGGTCAGAGCTTAAGGGGTTTATCATTTTTACCAATAATGTAGTTTCTGCACGCAGAATAAAATAACTCTGCATGCTCTTGGTCTTGGAAATAATTAAGATTCCTTGGAGAGCTAGTTTATTTGTTCCCAACTATAAATGTTTGTTGAGTGAGTCACGTAGAAAGCTCAAATCACAGCAAGTGCACCACGATCCCAGAACAGTTTGCAAGGCTTACTTATAATGAAGTAAAATACATTTCTCCATTTCCTGCAGGTCCTTTTTGCTGTCTTTGACTCCGTCCAAGGTTTTGTCATCATCACTGTCCACTGCGCCATGCGCCGAGAGGTGAGTCGGGCTCGACCCTCTGTTACGCGGTCACACTTGTTCGGTATTTGTCGTGCACGCTGAACTCATACGCACTCACTCCTTACGATGGCGAGGCATTCATGTTCACAAATGTCACGCCGGTTTTCAGGTCAACTCAAAGTCACAGCGTAACGCGAGCCGATCAGACGAGGATTAGCACGGCATTTATGTCCTGCGTCGCTGCTCTTCTTCTTCATAATGCACTTGATAGTACTGCATTGTCCATTTGATCCCAGGCTGCTTTGAGGAGCTTACTAAGATGTTGTATGGAGGGAGATGATAAGTCCCTAACTAATACTGCTCTGCTGTGTTTGCCACTGGCTCCGCTGCATCCGCGGGGATGCTGAATTTTAAAGTCATTATCAACATACAGAGCAGCGCATATATTCATGCCCTTGAGATAGACATTTGCCAGTACACACGCATTTGTAAATGGCTCGTTCAGTGGATTTATTTGGGCCTCACTTCTCTGTAAATGTAAATGCTCCTCCTGTATCTGATGCCCAGAGCTGTGCCTACATCCAGATCATTATGATATTGAATGCACTGCACACTGTAAGTGATTTTTTTTAAAGGCCTCCAAATGCTGAGCTGCATTAAATCAATAACACAAAAGCAAACAGGGATCAGTGTACAGTAAATCCAGGAATTACTTATTGCAAATGTATGAAAATCCCCAAGCAAAAAAAAAACGAAATGTAAATCCTTTGTAGCTGCCTGACAACAGGGGAAGGCGAGTGGACACAAAAGGTATACATTACTCTGCAGAACAAACGGCGGCGCTGCAAAATGTGGTTCCACGTACAGTATATGACATTCTCAAAATATGCTCCAAGCTACATTGAGCTTCTCTTCAGCACCCCCTGCATCTGAGGTGTGGTGGAAAAAGAATGGGCCACTGTGGCACGGTGGACCTGCTGAGATCAGTGGAGGTGAGTTAAGCAGGAGGAACAGGTGTGACATTGCAGTTGTTGTGATTAGGAGGCAGCAAGAGAGGGAGGCGGCAGCGAGATCTGAAGCAGCGGCATGTTGTGAGAGGGTCTAAACAGGGAGACGCACTTAAGTGAGGTGCGAGGGTGTGCAGAGTTACGTAGGATAAAAATGTATGCGATTCATAAGTGAAGTGGCAAAAATGCAGAGGAGGAGGAAGGAACAAAGAGGAAGGTGGAGTCAAAGGAGTGAATGTGGGCCTGTAAAGAGGCTCCCCGCTTTCAAAGCCACAACAAATCATATCAGTATGTGCAAATACGCACCAACACAAAGGAGATTAGGGGAGACAAATGTAAAAAGGAATCAAGGGTGCAGTGTCCTTGTTCATGCAGTGTTAAATGGACATGGACCATGTTGTAGCACACTCACACACACACACAGATAAGACCACCTAGCATTAGTGGTGGTGCTGTCATCCATATTTATTTCTGTATGAAATTCTTATGACGAAAGCCACAGTTAGATTAGAATTACATTAGGAATGATGTTGCTCCTCAACAACCGGGGTGAAGTTAGGAGGTCTGTGATACAGAGCAGTCTGTGTGGAAAATGCTGAGTCATCATGCCCCATCATGACCACTATGACAACACATGAGACAGAGAAGAAAATCTATAAAGTACTTTTTAAATAGTGTGATGCATTTTAACATTTATTAAATATATATATATATATATATGTATAGGAGAAAGTGAGAGTATATTTAGGCTGTCCGTCCAATTTAATATGAATTATCACAGGGTAGCTGTGGACAAATCATGATTATTCACAATCAGTTGTTAATTATTAATGATTAATCAAGTTCAACATTACTAAATATGACCCAAACATATGTGTAGACTCACTTTCTTCCCTGCGTTCGGCAAGTCTGATCTGATCAGACCACTGTCTTACCTGAAGGTGGAGCCTCCGTAAATGCATGCTGACTGTTGAGATATTGTGTAATTAGAGCTACACCCTTGTTTACTAAAGATAAACTATAAGATAAACTAATTTAAACATCAATGCATTCAAGACAGTCCAAAAACAAATGTCCATTTTCTCCCCCTTGTCCTGCTTTCCCCCAACCACCTGAGGTTGCAGTATCTATAGTGAGGTAACTTTATAACCCGAGGGGTTGTGGGATTGATTCCAGACTTGTATAGAAGTGTATATGTCGCAGCCCTGGCAGCCTTACTGCCATTAGGTTGATGGCAGAATCTGTGTTGTAAAAGTGCTTTGAGCGGTCATCAGTATGAAATGACACTACAAAAGAACCAATTACCCTTTCACTATTTTTTTTTCTCTCTACAGGTGCAGGATGCGGTGCGTTGTCGCATGGGGGGATGCAAAGACGACAGCGAAAACTCGCCAGACTCCTGCAAGAATGGACAGGTGCAGATTATGGTGAATAGCATTCCATTTCATCCCCATTAAAACTTCCATTGGCACAGTGGGATTTTTTTAGCCTAACCAAATATTTGTAGACTATTTCTAATCTGAATGCCAAGTCATGTTATTGTCTGACATGCTCATAACGCTATTTCAGTCAGTACAATTAGCTTTTAGATTTGGCTTTGTGGCTCCAAGTAAACATGCAGTTTCAGAGCCCTTGTATTTACTTTTAACCCAAAGGCTTTGTCTGTTTTTCAGGAGCACAGAGACTGTCGAGGGTTATTGTTTGTGTTCCAAATGTGGCTGATAAATCATTAAGACCTGAACTGCGTTGCCAATGTCAGTGCAGTCACTCTGCTACTATTAGAGCATAAGTGCCTCTCACATCATTGTTCCTTTTATTTTCCCTGAGACCCTCTTAGGGTAACTATTATGGGTCTGTGAAAGCCCCCGTGAGGTGATCAAGATTAAATGTTGGGGCCATCATTTTTTTCACCAGGAACATTATTATGATACATTTCGTGTGTGTTTTTGTAGCTGAGACTAGAGCTGCAGTTGGTGTTGTGCTTGTTTAATTTGTAGTGAAGTGTTTTTTGATCACAACCAACTGTTTCAGACATGGTTGGGGGACCAGCACATTATTTTCTTTTTTTAAGTCTATATGGGATACATCAAAAGCAGAACATCTATATTGATACATTTTGTATTTAAATACAAAAGCTAAATCTTTGTGGCTGTTCTTTTAAAAAAAACTGGCATCATTATTGCAGGGACCACAATTCTGTTAGGGTTTTTACACGCTCAGGAAATCTTATTAGATTGTTAAACCCTAGGCATTTCAAAACACTGTAAAAATGCAGAACAGTGTCTGCTTTCTGGACATTTAATAATCCTGGAATGAATTTATTAAGCCCTGCTCAGATTACAGTGCTCTCCCTCGCGCCTCTGTTTCTTCCTCTAACATTTCAATTTTTATGTTCTTCCATCCATTTCTCTCACACCGTCAGAAATGTTCAAACCTTGGCTTCAGTGGGCCGCAGCGTGGGCCTCTGCATTACGGCACCACCCCGTGCATGTCTGTGTGCCACACGCTGCCTCTCGCCCCACCGTGCCAACAAGTGTGTCAGCCAGGCTGTTACCTCAGCCTCCCACGTGGACACAACAACCCTGGGCTAGACCACATCCACGCCCTCAGCCATCCTCATGAGCACAACCCCATCCTGAACACTTTTCCGAATCATGCTCATAACCATGACATCAACCACACCGACAGCCAACCAGTATGTTGCTTTTGCTAATAATTGTTATTACTAACCATAATGTTTAAAAAGAGCAAGGTGCAAACTGTCAAACAATACCCAGAAACAGGTTCACAACATAAAATTAGCTTTAGCTACTCTACTTTATTGACTACGATGCACTTTTTTAATTCTGTATAGAGCTGGTCCAACTTGTAGAGATTAGAACAATGAACGCAAACACAATGCTATCATATAGCAACTGGTTCTTTAGTATAGATATGGATGTATAGTCCTGAAAATACTTTTAGCGTACCTGGCCAAAAATAAGCCCACCATGCAAGAATTATTTGCAAACCTTTTTGAAACGAGGTGTTTATTTTCGGGCAACGTCGATGACTGCATATTTGTACCGTCTTTGTGCTAAACTCAACTAGCCATCTGTTGGTAATGACCTTATTCTTATACAGGTGTGGGGTCAGGCCTTAGAGTTAAACTCAAACCAAGAACAGAGAATGTTGCTGTTCTTGTTTGGGGCACGTATTGTTTACACGTTGCACCTTGTGAGCTGCATTAGTGTGTTACAGCCTCTCCACTATCACTTTAGCATTAACAGTTGACTGTATAATAGAAGTAGATGATGTTAATACCCAACTATGTTTAACCTGTGAGCTCTTTCTTTAGGTCCATGATGGTTAAAGTGACGATGATTTGTTTTCCACCATTCAAATTGAGAAAGAAAGACGTTTCTTTCACAATTCCGTTCATTCATTTACACCCATTTATGCTGCTGTGGCTGATTTGCATACTCTCTCTCCTGTGAGACCTGTACATATTCTCTCATTCTCGCTTTCACTTTCTCATGTCCCCCTTTCTCCTCCCCGTGCCTCTGTGGCGTGCTCAAACTGTCTAAAATCTGTAGTTTATTATCCAAACAAAGACTTTTGTAAAAGGGAGTCCCACCGAGGAGTGCACTAGGATCTACGGTGAGAAAGAGAAAGATCAGTTCCGAATAGGAATGAGCTTCACTTTCAGTCGACGTCGGGGAAACAAGCAAGCGGCGGCCATTTAGGAGAAACTTTTCCCTGAAATCTTCTGCCCTCGCGCGTTAGTCTCGGGGACTTATCTACATTAGACCTTATTCATGCTGCACATTTGTCGTTGTGTTTAGATCAGTCCATTTCTGTGTTCTGGTTTATTTTGATTTCCCAACATTTTTTCATCCAATTACTCCAGCAGCTAATGGCTTCACTGCTGTGTTAATACAGTATTTTTCACTGCTTTCATTAGGATGAACCAGGGATGACTGTTAAGGCAGCAGTGTAATGAACCAAGCAAACCAAAGCTGGTTATTGCCTCTGGTGATGCCCAAAAATCTTCTGCTGGCTACGGAAGACACTTGGTGTACTCCTACGCTGGTTAACTAACTTGGGTTTCTATTAGGTGGAAAATAGTCAGTAAAACACCATGTGATGGTCACTGAGGAGCTTAGAGATTGTGAGTGAACGTCAGCTGCTACTAGACTTTTTAACTGACTGTCTCGGACTCTGTCGGTCACACTCAGTGTCCACTTTTATGACTCTTTAGCTTCTCCTACCCTTCTCAATTTTTTTTTCATAATTTCCAAAAGTGACACCATGTTCTATTAAGAGCCCAGTTCTCGAGACGATAAACTCTTCAGTTGCTGTGTTCTACCCATAAATTTCCATGCTGATTTCCTTCAAAAACCTTTTGAGCCACAGCTCCCACTTTCTTCCGCAGCTACGCTGACAGCCGAGGATGACAAGGTCCATTTCTTATATACAAATTAGTTAGATTTTCTCAGTACTTTTGTACTATCTGGGCTTTTAACCAAATTACTGAAAAGCCCTGATAAGTGATTGGACTGAGGACGACATATTGTTTTTGTTCCAGTGCATAAACGGCCGTTTCTAATTGACTGTCGCCATGGCAACAGATCGTATCTCTTCTGCAGTCGCTTTAGAGCATCACAGTCATTGAATACAGCATAACAATCTGAGATCCAATCATTCGTCTGGCCGGTCCTGCTGCTACTGTTATGCTAATGTGCTGACTCTCCTGCTCTCTCCCTCTCTGTCCCCCCTCAGACGGATTTTGAGAAGGATGTGGACTTGGCATGTCAAACAGGTCAGTGGTTTCCTTCCACTTAATTTCTCTTTGCATCCTTATTTTTGCCCTTCTTTTGTGTTCCTTAGAACACGTTTGTTTTTTTTTTTTCTTTAGATCTTAGCCAGGATTTGCTTTGCAGATGTGTAGCCACAGTGGCACACACATTACTCTGCCTTATCAATCACACTGTTCCTGCCCACCAAGTGTTTAGTGAGCATATGTTTGGATGAGAATGTATTTAGTTGTGCATGATAATAACGCCTGCAACACGTGACCTGTTTCACTGGCTGTTGAAGATGAACCTGATGGAGATTTTTGTGTGTTGTGTGATGAGATGTGTACATGTGACAGTTGAAGTATTAACCCGTCCTCACTCTCCCCCCTCCACTTTTGCAGAGAGAGGACACCCATGTAAGTTTTGCATCTAAATGACCTTATCATTCTTCGCCTGCTTTTTCCCCGGGCCTCAGTTGTCCCTTCAGACAAATACAGGTTGTGGGTTAAACCAGTATAACACTTAAAACCCAGCATGTGAAACAACTGTCAGTTGGATCTTTAAATGTATTCTCTAGCTCTTTGCTGTTGCATGCAGATGTGAAGGGATCAGCCTGGTATAGTTTCCCTCAGTATATGTTTGGCTGCCTTCACATCCCCGTCACTGAGGTGATACAGAGGAAAAACTCTCTGCTTTCCACTCAGCTTTCTGTGCTGGTAGGCTGAGGCTCAGGAGAACTGAGCTTCAGCTCCTGATCCTACAGCGTACGCACCAAGAACACAGTGCTTCATGCAGTACTATAATTAGATTTCTTGATCATTGTGTAAATACTCCCTTCTCTGACAGAAGAATCATGATGTCCAGCACGAACTTGTTTGTTACTGTGGTCATGCAAGTCTCTTTCCCGGAATAGTTGGTGGACTTCCAAAAAGATTGCAATAAGGATTCAATTTTGTAGTTCTTTTCTGGCTTAAGTTTTCATCTTTAGGACAAAGAGAAAAACCTGTTGCCTTTCATGAGCTAAAGGAAAATCAGAAATTGATGCTTGCAACTCACAAATTAAAACTGTCAAAACGTATGCAGATTGATCAATCCATCTGTCATTTTAAAGTCTTCAAGTTTTGCAGTGGTGGATAGTTTCCACTTTGCACATAACTAGGACAGAAAACAGTGCATTCGACATGTCGCCTTCCTGCCCTCTGGGCGATATCACATTTAAATCCACCCTGCAATGATGATGGACAAAGCCACAGGACCTCCAGACTACTTTAGTGAATCATCATCGTTTAACCCAGTCTGCGGCCTCAACAAAACAGCTTCCTCAGAGTGTATAAAGCAGTGAGGTAGCTTCATGTCAATTTGGTGCAGAAACACCACAGAGTTCTGTAGACCCTAAACTGATTTTAGATCATAAACCTGAATAGTAATATCAAAGAGAGAATTTGACCCAAAGTACGTTTGTCTCTTACCTTTTGTGGGGTGTTTCAGGCATCAGTTTTTTATTTTATTTAGTGAAAATAGTTGAGATCTTCCATGAAACCGAAAAGGTTTTTTTCCTCATTCCTCTTTATTTAAATTGATAAATAAAGGTTAAAGCGAAAAACCAGATTACAGATTTTAAAATGTTGCAATTTTGTGTAACTGTACCAACTCATCTGGGTTTATTCTGTAGATAGACTTTAGCATCATTAGCATGTCATTCAGATGTTTTTTTTTAGTTTCTCTTCCACTTGATTTAATTTTTTTTTCTTTATTGTAAACACAGTGCATGAAAGCAAACCAGAGCCGCTATAAGAATTGTTATGAATACCACATGCCATGCAGAATTATGCATGCGTTTAATCATGTACTCTGACAGAGCTTTACTGATATGGGAGTTGTAAGCGAGTGAGGAAGCGGTGGGACGGGGACTCTGCAGCATACAAATTTGTCTGAGTTTTATTTGAGGCACAGAGCACTTTGCTGTTTGAGGCTTTTTATTGCTACTCATAAAAATCCTGGCTCACCAGCAAATCTCAAGATGGATCATCGATGTAAGGTCACGGTGTCAGCGAGCAAACTTATATTTGTAACAGTAAACCATATAAGTCTGGAAATCAAAGCTAAAAACTTTTATTTGTCAGTGCAGTCTGTCTCAGAGTTGCATCAACACGATTTTACATCGGGGTAATGGATGTCCTGTCTGTGTGTTGCATACTTCAGTCGGCCGCCTGCTGAATGAAGTGAAATGTATTACCGTTTAAAAACCTTCATTCTCCCCGACATTTTATGCACAATACTCATTTTCTCTCCCGCTTTCCCTCATTCGTCATCTCACCTCCTTTATCCATTTTCACCAACAACCTTGACTCCTGCTGCTCCCTCGTTCCTCCTTGTATCAATCTCTTTCCCCTGTGCTTTCTATTGTTTTTCTTCCTGTCCATCCATCCATCTCCCTTCCCAGTCATTTTCAAGGAGGTCAACACCTGTAACCCCGCCACCATTACTGGGACCCTTTCCCGTATCTCTCTGGATGATGAGGAAGATCCCAAGCTGGCAGCCCATCAGGAAGGGGGAGTCGGAGTTAATTTCAGCGCCCTCCCTGGAAACATTCCCCCGCCCAATCTTATTGTACAGGTACATTGAAATAACCTTTGTAATCCATATGGCTGAATTGTGCATCTCATCATTTTATCTTGTTATATTGTCTTATATGCCTGCATATATATTTACAAATTGCATTTTTTTTTTTTGGTTTTTCTTCCCTAAGGTTCCACCACTAGGAGGCCTGAATGAGCTGAGTGAGACACCCCTAAAGAAGGAAGTGAATGTGGATCAGCAGAGACAGCAGGGGCAGCAGCACAGCGGCGGTCCAATCTATCTGTGCACAGAGAGTGGCCTTGGCTGGGCACGGCCGCCGGCTTCTTCCAACAATTCCCAGGATGGTAGTGCTGGGAGCGGAGGAAGTGGGGGAGGTGGCAGCGTTGGAGGGGAAGGGGATTACATGGTCTTACCTCGCAGGACGGTTAGTCTCAAACACCCGGGGTCCACCTTGCAAGGAGGTCTGGATCTAGGGAGTGAGGAGAAGCCTCTCAACATCACGGTGGAAGATCCTCCTTTCCCCCCGCCTCCCTCGCCCCTGACTCTCCATCCAGCTGAGAGCGAAGCCTACCCGGTGGATTTTGTGCCATCTAGTGTGGGCGACATGAACATCGCCATGAACCTTAACCGCTCCTATGGGACGATCAAAACCATGCAGCACGGGCATGGCCACATGATGCCTCAGGGTGGTCTTGTACACTCCCATGGAGGACACATGCACTCCCACGGTCACTCTCTCCAGATTAAGCCAAGCCAGAGGCCGTCAGTCAGACAAATACTGACGGGCGGAAGTGCAGTGGAGAGAACCAGAACCCTGCCACGGAACCTGGGCAGCACCAACGGCAACACCAGCCACTCGGCAGGATCTCTGGAGGTAGGTGAAAGATTAAGGAAAAAGGGCAGAAAAGTAATGTACCTGTAAAGGTGCTTCTTGACTAGGTTCACCTTTGACCTAGCATTCTGAGTGAGGTATTGTTTTTTTAATGAGGAGGACAGGAAGTAAGAGAGAATATTGTGCAGAATTTGGTTTCTGAAGTCAACGAAGTCACTCATATATATATATATATACACACATACATATGTGTGTGTCTGTGTGTGTATGTATATAATACATATATGTGTGTGTGGGTTTCTGTCTCTGAGGACTGTGATTGTGATGGTGAGAGGGGAGTGGAAAGGCGGAGACTGTCTCCCCTCCAGATCTTGGGTTTTTCTCTCACAATCTTCCACTGATCAAAAAATTGCAGACTGAAACTTAGGGTTAAATCTGAGAGTTATAACCACCAGGTGTGAACTGGGAGAACGTGCAGAAACTGTTTTCTCTGCGTTATCTGTATGATGATGAATGGATGGAATCTCAGCTCCTGTTACAGACGTCAAAGCCATACAAACAGCAACACACACACGTGCTGATACACACACACTGGCGCTGCCCCCTGTGGTGTCTTGCTGAGTCACTTTGTTAGAAGAGATTAAAATGACACCTTCGGTGAAAAGTGCAGATTTTTAGTCGAGGATGTTAGGGCTGAGCCATTAAAACTCATAAAAAAATCACCACCGAGGAGCAAAGAGTGCACTCATGAAATCTTTAAAAAAAAAAGAAAAATGTCTGCAGAGAATCTTGGGAAATTCAAGTTACTGCTGCTGTTTCACCCTGGCTGAATTTGTGAAGATGGATATTAGAGTATGCCTCTTAAGATTATATCACAGCAGTTATTTTACATTACTTCATTTTCACTTCCAAATGATCGGGTCCAGCATGGGGAAAAAAAGCTCATGGGATGTAGCCTAAGGACATACTTTTGAGCAGATGTCTTTAACAGAGTTCTGTGACCCCAAGCGGTCTGTATAGGTACTGCAGGAGGTTGATTTTTTTTTTTTTTTAGTTCTTTGCTTCGTCTTAGCACTGAGAACAAATATTGATGCAGTCTATCATTACATTTAATACTATGTTATATTCTGACAAACATCCTGAAATACATGATTTGGGCAAACATTTTAACCAATCTTAAATGGTTAAAATGTGCAACAACCATTTGCAGGATGAAGATGTTTTTTCATGACTTGATGTTGACTATTTAATATGTTTCAACAAAATGTTATTCTATAGGAGTCCCTGAAAAATAAGGCAATTCAGTCTTTGTCAGTAGAGGGTTTCTTTTCAGAGACGACGACTGTTTTATAGACAGCAGATAATTTGCTCAGTGAAGGGGACGTCTCTGAGAGAGAGAGAGAGAGAGAGAGAGCTGCACCTCTGTGTCTGTTTGCATTTCTCCACCTGTTTAAAGCTAGGCTGTCGTAGCTTCAGATCAGCAACTCTGCCCTTTCAAAGAATGAAGGCAGCTTTTAACTAACCGTGCAGAGTGGCCCTTTTCTTTGCCAAATGTAAATCTGGCAGACAGCGAAAGTGAGATACAGAGTCAGAGATGGAATGTAATGCGACGAAATGTCAGGAGCAGATGAGCTGGAAATGTCTGCAGCTGTTATATTGGCGGCTTGTTTGCCACACACGGGATCTTTGGAGGCGTGCGAAAAGAGAGGCGGGGCCCGGGCGACCTGAAAGAAAGGAGACATTGCTCATGTATGCGTTTGTTGCCGCTCCTTTAGTCGGAATAATCTCCTTACAAATTATTTGACAAAATAGTGGGAGAGAGAAAAAGCGGAGGGTGATTCATGCCGGGCTCGTAATGATTTAACTTCAGATGATGTGAGCCGAGAAATTAGTATTTCATTGTAATTCTTGGTTATTGCACTTCACTAATCTTATTGCACTGAAATAGACTGAATAATTTGCTGTTTGCTTTGATGGCTGAGAGAATGTCTGTATGATGTTGGACAGCCGGAGCACATTAGCGCTCCTCTTGTTACTGAACAATGGCTGTACAGAGATTCACAGGGAGACTGGGATAAAGACTTGAGAAGACATCTTACGTAGAGGTCCAGTGTTAGTCATTGATGCTCTCTTCTCTCCCCTTGCCCCCCCTCCTCTTCCAGAGGAAAAGAGTACGGTACTCTGAGCTGGACTTTGAGGTAAGACCTGTGACCTCACCCCTTTGTCATCAGCCTGTCTCTGCTTTCTTGTGCTTCTGCCAGGACTTGAGTAACATGTAGAGGAACAAACAGCAACGCTAAACCCTCTCCTTTCCCTCCCCACCGTGTCTTCCCTGCATTTAGAACAGTGTTGTGTTTTAGGTTCGCAGTGTGCTGTTTCTACAACACTGGCCTTATAACTGTCTCCAATGTACGTTAACGTCTGTGTCAATTCTGCACATCGTCACCGAGTGTGAATAAACCGAGTAATGTCTGTATTCAATTGTGAGGGTCTTGTTGGAGAAACAGCAGGTTTACGAGTGCTCAGTGTGTGTGTGTGTTTATGTGTGTGAGGAAAAAGCAATTTAATTCTAGGGAGAGGAGGTGAGGTATGTGGCTGTATTTGATTGGCTGGTTATATCTGTTGGATACTTTGGGTTAGTAGTGTGTGAGTGTGTTTGTTTTAGAATGTGTGAACTGGAAATGTCCAGTCTCTGAGTCTGAGTATATATACATCATATTCTAATGCACTTGGTGTAGTTTTAATTAGGGATGGCTCGATCAACACTCAGGATCAGTATCCGTCCAATATTGGTCAAAATTCCAGGATAGGATACAATATCCTATCCAATACAATACTTAATTCTGAATACTCAATATAACTCTGAGCGTCATGCCGTATACAGAGACATTCACCTCAGCAACGGCAGGAAAAAAAGGTTAAAATCGGCACCTGCAGATACACCAAGTTGGATTATTAGTATCAGACATTAAAAGTTTCATGGAGCCATCCCTAGTTTTAATGATATGTTACTGAACCTGAAGACTGGACATTGACCTGTCATCATTGGGAGACTGTATGATGTAGTATGCAGAGGGTGTGAGTGCTGATGATGTACTAACACTCCGTTTGGCTGGTCATGCTAGTTATGTGGCTAACATGACGAGTAGCCTCCTCGCTGGGAAGATTCCTTTACCTGATGATCAGGTCTTAAGTTTTTTCATTTAATGCAAGATGTACGCTTATTCTACCATGTTTAGCTAAAATGATTTTCTAAACTTTAGAGAGAATTAGGTGAAGAATTTTAGGTAGCATTGTAGCAGCGTTAGTCACCTTTATCTAAAAATTTCAGTGCGAATCCTTTGACCGCTACATACCAAGCTTAACTAATCACGATGGCGTTGTCATGTTTCTGCGTGTGCATATGCTGTTATAGTTCATCTAGCCTTTAGGCCAATGTCATGCTACGTAGTAACCGTGTTGAATTCCAGATGACATTTCCAAATTTTGAAAACCACACCCAAGGACATAGGAAGTGACAAAACAAAGCAGAGTGAATTGCAGAGACAAGTAGTAACAGAAAAATATTACGCTCTGAGCCGAGCAGTACGCACTCTTAACATACTGGAGCCAGCACTAAGTGCACTCCTGCTCCATCAGTGTACTGGTGTGGGGGCTGGAATCTTCCCCCCATGTCACTTTCAGCCCTGCAATGTGCTTCGACAATTAGCTAGTGTTGAGCAGCCCCCACACTGCCCATTAGTACAGAGAGACAACAGCAGTGGCACTGACAAATGCAGTTTGCTGTAAGAAAATAAAAGATTTGGAATATGGCTCCCATCTAGACAGACATAATAAGAACACAGGGAAGACAGTTTTGCCAAATGTCGTTCCAGTTGGGCCAGAGTTAAATTCCACTCCATCTGCTCCACATTTAATGAGTTAGACAAATATGTGAGTTAACAGGACCACCGGCTAACAGGCACCAGTCTGTAACAATTTCTGTCAGTCATTTTTCACCAAAATAACATTCAAACGACTCATCTGCAGCACATGAAGTTGCCTGAAAACTGACAAAACGGATGATGTACGAGCATGAGGCAGCAATCAATCGATCTGTCAGCATCTCCCTCTCTTAACTCCTGTCGTGGCTGCATCCCCACAGCCTCCGACCCACTCCTCTGCTTGCCCATACATCGGCCCCACTCTATATATTTTTTTTTCTCCGTTTGTCATTGGTTCATTTTTGCTGTCCCTTCCTTTCTTCCCTTCCAGAAAGTGATGCACACTCGCAAAAGACATTCTGAGCTGTACCATGAGCTCAACCACTCGTCCAAGTTCCACACCATAGACAGGTATAACAGGGACGCAACCGGCAAGGTAAGACCATTACCCAAAAGTCTAAATTTGAATCCGCTGTTCCAGTGCACCACCAACCCCTTTTACACATTTTACCGATCCTAAAATTCGTCCCTGTTAAAGAAAATAAATAAAAATGGTAAAACTGATAAATACAGAACAAACATGACGGTACCAAAGTTAGTGTTTAAAATCAACAATGATGTAGAAGCAGTTACTGTAGACACTGCTTGAAAGGTGTTGTAGTTAAAAGAGAATAGCTCAACAAAAAACATTTAGTTAGCAGGTCAACCTTTATATCTATGGGACAAAGGACAAACAAAATGTTTTCCATCCTGCTCCAAAAAAAAAAAAAAAACTTGGACAGAGCTCAGTCACTAATCACTAGGCACTAATCTTGTTGTTACTTTTTCATTACATAATGAATCCCGGACTGTATTGGGTGTCAACAATTTTCTGTAGCTACATTAAAGTAGCATGGCAGTTTCTGACACAATACTAGCTAATTAGCAGGATGCTGCTAACCTTTAGCAGAAACTTCAGTTGTTGGCTATGGCAAAGATGTTTCTTCTCATAATTCAGATTTTTTTTTTACAAATGAAATTACCTATACCAGGATTTAGCCTGGTATAGGTAATAGGGGACTAAATCCTGGTCAATAGGGAACTAAATCCTCGATGCCAGGATTTAGTTTCCTATCGACACCTCCAGCCTTTACCTACCCTAACCTGCTCAACGACAGTATGATTTAAATAGTATGCTTGTAAAGAGTATGTGAAGAAAAATATTTTCTTTGTCCTTTTTCCTGTAAATAAAGGTTCAACTTAATGTCCATGTAGCATGTAGAAAGTGTAGCAACTTCTCTGGAAATTGGAGCAGAACATACTTTTGGAATTGGTTTTATTTAGTTTCATTTTTCCTTTTTCATTTCATTCATGAATTTGAAAAAAAAATCTTCTTTTCTTTTCTGTCAAATGCAATAATACCAATACCTTTAGCTAAATGATCCTCATTAACTGCCATGTTTTTTTCTATTCCTGCTATTTAATATTTGCAAAAATACTGTACACACTGTACTACATAAAATCTGCAAAAAAAAAGTCCCACATGTCACATGGGCTTGGCAATACCACGTGTGTGTTATGGTTATGTCTGTCTGAGTGGCTGATTACAGTATTCATTTGTGTGTGTCTGTGTCAGTCGGGTGCCTGGGTGATGCCCAAGCTCATGGGACGCAGAGGCGTGTTTGAATCATTAATACACCATTAGCAGCAGACGGAAGAGCCCCCGCCTCCTCTCGGCTGACCTTCATGAGGCCGGTTTCATTAAAATTTTACCTCACACACATGCGCGTGCTGCACTACCCTCATCTGCAGTGCTCCAGTGCGTGAAGCCATGATGAGTTAGTCAGCCTTGATAGGTATACTTTCCCCTGGCATTGGCGGCATGCTGCTTCACATCTAATTTACATCCCAAGTAGGGGCACCCGAGCCGCTCTGACATATCTCATATTCCCCGTGCCATGTAACTACAGACACAGTGAACAAGCACAAACATGCTGCCATTTTGAAGTACCGCACCGGTCCTTTCCATCGTCGCTCATTTTGCTCAGGATCTTAATTGAGATTTTTCAAAGCGTCAGCCAGCTCGCCATTCATTACTGCCATGCAACTGCTTTGTAAGGAAAAAGAAAGATGGCAGGCCGCTCGCGGAGAAACCAGCCATACATTAGACGTCCGCGGTTCTTAACTGTTGTGCTGCAGCTTGGTAATGTGCCTGGGAGGGAGCTCAGGTGCGCTTTGAGATTATTCCCCAAATGCCGGCGAAGGAAAAGGCTCGTCAGAAGTAATAGATTGGCTGTAATAAAACTTAATTAAGACAAATTGGTATGCACATATCCTGTGAATTAGTGACTTGGTGTAAATTATAAAATGAAGGGGCAGAGATGCGGCTAACTCGACCGAAACCTTATGTTAAAAGTGAGTAGACAGTTCACTTAACTGTGAATAATTACATGGATAATGTTATCAGTGCCAGACCTATGACAGGACCCGGACACTGAGTTCAGCTTTGTAGCTGTCAACTCACTTTGAGAGTCAATGCACCAGACATGCTGACTATGGAGTAATTATGTAGATGAGAGAGTCACACGTTAGTCTGGCTGTGTGTGTGTATATGTGTGTAGTTTATTGTGGCCATACATGTGTGTTGTCACCCGTCTCTCTTGATTTTTTATTTATTTTTTGTTGATATCAGTGTGTGCTACAACTCCATTACCACATCACTAATGATATAATTGCTTTATAATAACTTTAATAACCCCCTACTACGACATGTGACAGACCCTGACAGTGAGTGCCACATATATAACATCAGTTCTCTAATCTCGATAGCCAACATTTATTGCCCTCCTTATGAATGGACGCTGAAAGTACTGTGGAAACTAATGAACACACTTAACTTCACATGGTCCACTGACTTAGTGACTTAACGACAAGCACTGGTGAGCATCTGTCCATTAAATGTTAGCAAGCCTTTTGGTTGTTTCGGCCAGCACTAAAAGAAACAAACACTTGACTTCACCTAACAGGTAGTGAAAAGAAGTCATTGACCTCAAGCAGTAAAACCTCACCAACAGTGCTGAATTTCCAGGGCGTCGTCTCTCTAAAGCGCAGTAACAGTATTCTAACCCTATCTCTAACTACACTGTAACCCCTGCTGGCCACTGTGTCCGGTGTTCATCTACAACAGGTTCCCCCTCCCCCTCCACCGAGGCACGACACCGAACCGTCGCCTACGCAAAGAACTTCGCTTGTTTTCAAAGAAAGTCAACGTAAGACTGAAACCCACCATAACAACCTGGCAGTAGAGCCCCCCCAGTCTGTAAAGCAGGCTGATGACGCTACATGGCAGTATATTTATATCACTGTTTGTTGTGCATGTGTGTGTGCTCATGCTGCAGTGACAAACAGTACGTTTCAAAGCAGCAGTTGTGCAGTTACGGATTAGCATCTGTAACTTGGGACGACAGTCTTGTCAGGCTTTGGATTTCTGGACGTGTTGAAGTGGTGCGCGTTTATGTATGTGGACAGCTGAGCAATGCAGTAATCATTTCAAGGATGTTGTCCAGACAAACCAAATCTGACAGAAATATATTGTGTATCTTATTACTGCTTTATCGAGTATGTCATGTTAAATATCTAAGTGTCTGGGTATTACAGCTGCATGAAGTATCAAACAACTGTGTGGTCTACATATACATATGTAAATATATTTGTGTGTGAATATATACATATACACACTTTATATATTTACATGTATATAATTACAAATATATTTATATAGATTTAGCATATGGTGGTTACTGACTATATGTACCATTTACCAAAGTCAGTCTAATTAAGAGTGATAAGAATGCATACTCTTATTTACAACGTATTGTGTCAGAGTATATTCTTACTCCATGTAGCTGCTCATCTGCTCTGTTTTAACACTGCTGCACAACAAAGCCATTAGCAGTAATTGTAGAAACTCCCTTGTGGTGGTGCTGTAAACATTTGTTGCCTCACATTTGGATTGAAGAGTGCCATTTTCCATGCTTCCATCAACTCCCGCACAAATTCGTAATAAGCTTCACCAACGTGTATGACAGTCGACGAGGTTGATGGAGGATTGACCTTTTGTCTGTATCTCAACGTAAACACAGAAAATGTCATTGTTTCGTAGTTTGCTTCACACCCGTACTCGTTCCACTGTGTCCGTTTCAGTGCCGATGTAAAAATCCTCTAAGCGAATGATAAATAAGTTCATAAAGATGATGAATCATTCAAACCGATTTATAATCCCCCTCATAAAATCCATGACATTATCTCTCAGCATTGGCACTGAAAAGGCCCAAACACAAAGCTGTCGTGTGACTTCCGGGAGAATAAAAAAATGACCTGAAACACTTTACATCTGCAGAAGAACGGTGTCAGTGTTGGCTGTGCTGAGAGATGAGTGAACATCAGAAAATGTATTCTTTTATTTCAGTCATATCTTTAACATCCATATATCTTTGTTATTGTGAATTAGTATTGTAGTATATTGTAAACACAAACGTCGATTTGTTGATATTATGTTTTTGTTTTGTCAATGCAACACCATGCCATACTGCTCTACTGTTTTCTCAAGATTTAAAAAAGAAATGCCTCAGTGTTAAGCTGAATGAATGCAAAGCTGAAAAAGATAGAGACACAACTGGGATTCAGACAATATATATAAAAGAAACCCTTCCTATTAACCTTAATGTTGAAAACCACTTGTCGGCCTTATCTGTGACAGTGCTGAAGAGGCGGAACAAGCCCTGCATATTAACAACAAATCCGTGTTTGTTCCCCCGTTAAAATTCAGCTATTATTCAAAAACAAATGCTGTACGTGACCTTTAGTTTCCACTCTACAAAATGCCTAACTGGTGAACTATGGCTAACAAAGGTCAACTCCGGGCAATGACACGCGCATAACCCGTGTGGCTTTTAAATGTGGGAAAAAGGTAATAAGTCATTTACGTCCTTTAACCTAGCTGTGAGGGATCACGCTCGGGTATTGTTGGCTTGTGAACTGTTATTTATGGTGAATGGAAGGATTTAAAGGTAACATTTGGAGAGAGTGATGATAAAAATAGACCAACAAGGTTGACTGCATTGATGGTTGAATGCAGTCGGTAGAAAAAGATTATTTTTATATACAGTAGCAAATACTGCAACTAGGTCAAAATTAAGAGGATGCTCCCATGTGCGCAGACCACCCACAGGTCTTTGGAGCCGTACTCCTCCGACGATATCATACTTTAATTACAGCCCATTTGGATGTGTTTACTTCAAATTCAACAGACACACACTTACTGGGCTGTTTAAGCTGGATTTGGATATTCTTCGGTAAAATATGTATTTAAGGACACCTCTACTTACCTTAATGTCAGCTCTTTATACACAGTTCTTTGGCCAATTATTTGATATACGGAGGTCTGCTTGTTTGAAG